TTTTTGGCTGTGGTTACCATCAGCACTAGTTCAAATTTATCAGGTGTGACGCCTTTCAGCAACCATGTCATTTTCCAAAAGATTTCATAATCGAGTTCCGACAAACGATCGTTGAACAAGACACGTTGGAAGAAGCTCATGAGGATAAGCTTTTTATATATAATGTTAGTTCCATTTTAAATATCAATACATCCAACTGTGAGGGGTTTACCTGAGAGTCACGTTTACCACGATTACCGGCCTTGGGTGCATTGGCTTCTTCTTCAGTACCGCATTTCACAATGGTTATACAAGGCACGCCTTTATAATGACCAGCGTACTACATACATAACAGATTAGAAATCAACAAACGACACAAAAGATTACACATACCACTTTAGCCATATTCAATTGCTTTTCACCATCCGCAATAGCCAAATAAGATGAAGGCTTGGGATTGGACATGGTAGGATCGAGGTCCATCATGCTAATCACGATATCGGGTGTTGACTTTGTTTCGCCTGCACCTGTAATCATACCATCTGCGATAATAAAGAAAATCTATTGGGGAAAAAAGTGAGTTGAGAGAGACAAAAAGATATCCATGTTTACCTTGTGTTTCTTGGAATACGTCGTTTCTGCCAAACTATCCATTGTCGTTCTAAGCCCTTCTTCACCCTCCGAATAGCAGGTAACGAGCATGACCGTATAAAGTTCTGTGGTCACAATATCGGAGCGAGCACCGCCTAGACCCACTGCCGAACTTTGCTCACTCAGCGCAGGTGTAGCACGAGATGAAGAGCCAGAACCAAGGGATGTGGTCGAGTTTTGAAGTTGCATTGGTCCGTAATTGTTGTAGGGTCCTGGGATATGATTCGCAGGATCGTCGTTACCTCCCTTAATCGAACGCCAAGCCAGCCAGTTGGAACGACCACCGGGTTTGATTAATCGACTCGAGATAAACCATTGAAAGAGGAGGGCCATGGAATAACGTACAACAATCATGGCAATAATGACAACCAACATCAAGTTCATGATGATCTTGTCTGCAATACAACCTGCTGTCTCGGTTTCCATCACACCTACTCGATAACGTGCTTCCAGGCATCGACGGGCTGCTCGGCCGTTGGGAGTGTTCAAGAGAGCATAAGACAGGTCGGCTGCCAAGTTTGAACGGATTGCACGGTCGACAGCTTCTCCAAAGGGAAGTGTTGTGGATTGTAAGTAGCTGGTGAGGTTTAAGACTAGAATGGTTTAAGAATTTTCTTGGTTTTTTTTTTTTTCTTGGTTTTTTGGTTACCTGAATCGCCCAGTAAGGCTAGTGATTGGCCAGTGATGGAATGTTTATTTAAATCTTCCCAATCGAAGCCAAGAACACCATAACGAGAACGATAAAAGGCCTGTAATTCAGCAAGTGATAAACAGGTATTGTTAAGTGGAAGCATGCCACCACCATATGGATCGATCAGCTGACAGGTAGGCAAAGTGTTGGGAAAGCCTCGACAGTAGCCTCCAGTATCGCCATCAAAGATACCACTGAGTTCAACATTTTGATAATCATTTGTCAAATTGAGACCCTTAGTAGCAAAAAATGATTTCAACGCATCCATTGGATAAATCTGACCAAAGACGCGCGGGTTCTCATGGTACACTGGTATGCGTTGACCGTCGACGACTTGGGAATAGGGAGTGTTTGACGTTTGTGACGAAGGTGGGCAAAGCGCTCTGTTCAAGCCGTAAGTGATAAAGGCTAGTGCACCACATAGAATCAAGATAATATAACACAGTGAAAGCTATTTTTATCTCATTTAGACTCTATATTCCGACTTTTTTTTTTTACCTTTTCTCTCCAAGCCTGTTGCACCATTGGATTCTTTTTTCTTAGACATACACGAAGAAACCAATTAGGAATACAGCAAGTCATCAAATAAGCCAACCAAGCCCACCAGCTTGTCAGCACCTTGATCTTTTCTTCGGGTATATTGGCGTCATTACTTTCCTTTTTATTGTTTTCTAAAAGAGCCATCTCTTGTTGTTGCTGTTGTTGATACATTTTTTGCTGTTGTTGAAGTTGATGTTGTAATCGATTTGGCATAGGATAATTGGAAGGTCTTGGTGGCCGCATTCGTTGTTGTTGCATTTGTTGTTGCATCATTCTCTGTTGTTGAGAAGGGGATCGAATCATGCCTGGTCTTGGTCTTTGTCGCTCAGGACGAGACAATGAACGAGAACGGTTCATGCTCACACGACGATAGGGACCTGTAGCGGTTGGTGGCTGATTAGGTACCATGGGTTGTTGTGGGTGATGATAAGGCGGTCTCATCGGTCGACCTGTTCTCACCTGTGATTGTCTATCTGGATGATGTCTATGAGCAGGTGGACGAGGACGAGAGAGATGATCCATATTATACTGTTGCGGTGGAATATTTGATTGTCTATATTGGTTTAATCTAATCTGACTTTGTCTCATCTGCTGTTGTTGTTGTTGTTGTTGATATGATAATCGGGGATCAGGCGAACCTCGGTACATGTTATTATTCGGTCGATGATTATTTGACATTTTTTAATGTTTTTTTTATGTACTTTTATGTACACAAG